ATCAATTCCTTAGCCTTATCTCCAACCATTTAGTTTTCCTGAATGCACAAAATATTTAATTCCGTTATGTATCATAATATCTATTTAATTCATTAATTTTCCTGTAAGGGAACTAATTCCAAGTTTCCAATCCTAATTTTATGTTTCATGGACTAGCTTCTTTTGCCCACATTCCGGTCCTTGATGTGGGAATCCGATAGGTCTTACATCCTTGGTGGATTCTCTCGACCTCTTCCACACATGTTAACGTCATCGAGCAAAGGCTTTGATATACAACCTTGGATAGGTCTTACATCCTTGGTTGATTCTCTTGACCTCTTCCACACCGGTTAACATCATCGAGCAGGGCTCTGACATACAACCTCGGATAGGTCTTACATCCTTGGTTGATTCTCTTGACCTCTTCCACACCGGTTAACGTCATCGAGCAGGGCTCTGACATACAACCTCGGATAGGTCTTACATCCTTGGTTGATTCTCTCGACCTCTTCCACACAGGTTAACGTCATCGAGAAAACGCTCTAACATACAACCTTGGATAGGTCATATATCTTTGACGGATTTTATTAACCTACGCAAGACTTTCGTCTGGATTCTCCATAAAGTCAAATTTTTACCCGACGTCGGACTTCTGCCTGTCATCAGATTACTACTCGTCATCGAACTTCTGCCCGTTGATGGAATTTCGTCGGTCTTCTACCCGACATTGTACTTCTACCCGACGTCGGACTTTTGCCTGTCGTTAGACAGCTACCCGTCGATTGACTTTCATCGATCTTCTACCCGACAATGTACTTCTACCCAACGTCATACTTCTACCTGTCGTCGGACTACTACCCGTCATCGGACTTCTGTCCGTCGATGAACTTTCATCAATTTTTTACCCGACGTCAAACTTCTTCATGCCATCGGACTACTACCCGTCATCGGACTTTTTCTCGTCAATGGACTTTCGTCGGTCTTCTACCCGACGCCGTACTTCTACCCAATGTCGAATTCCTGCCTATCGACGGACATTCATTAGGCTTCTACCCGTCATCGTACTTCTCCCTGATGTTAGAATTCTACCGGACATTGAATTTATACACATAGTCGGACTTCTACTCGACGCCAAATTTCCACCCTTCGTCGGACTTCTGTCCATCGTTAAACTCCTACCCGACGCCGTATTTCTATTCGACGCTAAATTTCTACCCTTCGTCGGACTTCTGTCCGTCGTCAGACTCCTACCCGACGCCGTATTTCTACCCGACGCCATATTTCTGCCCGTCAATAGTCTTTTCAACCTCCCTCCTTACAACGGTCTCTCCAACCTCCATCGCTAGCCAACTAACATCGGAACTCCGCAGGGTCTCCTAAAGAAAGGAGGGAGAAGGGGGATCTCCGGACATTCTTGCATAAAGAAGGGCCTTGAGCCTGCACGAGGGATACCACCCGTACATAGCCAAGGGAAGGCCTCAATTGAAAGAAAGGAGGGAGAATGGTGGATCTCCGGACCTTCTTGCACAGAGAAGGGCCTTGGGCCTGGACGAGGGTTACCCGTACAGGGCCAAGGGAAGGCCTCAATTAAAAGAAAGGAGAAAAAATGGGGGATCTCCGGACCTTCTTGCACAGAGAGGGACCTTGGGCCTGGACGGGGGATACCACCCGTACAGGGCCAAGGAAAGGCCTCAATTGAAAGAATGGATGGAGAAGAGAAGGTGCAAGAATTTCATACCCTCTATGGGGGTATTTATAGGAAGAAAGGGGAGTTGGAGAGGTTAAAAGAAAAAAACTGCCTAAATCGCCAGCCGCGCCCCAAACCCATAACCGGCCAACGGGTGGAGCCGTTCAGTGGCGCACGCGGGCGCATAGGCAGTCAGGCAGCAGGCTGTCGCGCAGCGCAGCACGGGCAGCGCATGGTGACGCAAAGTGGCAGCGGCAGCAGTGCCGGCAATTTTTGGGGTCCTCGGAGCCGTTTTCATACTCAATTTTTGGTACGAAAAAGTCAAATCAGACGTTTTTTGGGTCCCCGGATCCGTTTTTCGACATTCCGGATTTAATTTTGAAACTTTTAAAGTGATCCGGGATCTCTATGCCCACGAACGAACACATTCAAATTTCAAAATGCACAAAAAAATCCCCAAAGATTGCGACGCATATTTTCAAAATTTTAGAACATCGACGTCCGAAAATAGGAGGGCAACTGTTACGTCATCAAAAAATTATCTTGATTGGGCACGAATCTCGATAAAAAATCAAGCTGGAAACTTCTGAAATTAAATTTGGGACCATCCAAACTTCAATTTCAGCAAACTTGCAGTCAAACTAAACGTCTCGGAAATACGAACTCAACGACACCAAATTCGACTCAGTCCGAGCCCAAATGAGTATTTTCGAAATTTTAGAACATCGACGTCCGAAAATAGGAGGGCAACTGTTACGTCATCAAAAAATTATCTTGATTGGGCACGAATCTCGATAAAAAATCAAGCTGGAAACTTCTGAAATTAAATTTGGGACCATCCAAACTTCAATTTCAGCAAACTTGCAGTCAAACTAAACGTCTCGGAAATACGAACTCAACGACACCAAATTCGATTAAGTCCGAGCCCAAATGAGTTCAAATCAAAGATCCAAAGTGCTGTTGGAAGGTTCGAACCACAATTTGGATTACCAAACGATTTCCAAACATGACATGCTTTTAGTCGAATCGAGCGTCTGAACGGGACGAATCAAACGAGCCCAAGATCACTGAATTCCAACATCACTAAGACATTCAAATGTCCATCAAAAGGTCCATGATCAAGGGATTCAACATCGGCCGTCCATCCAACCAGTCCCCATTTTCTCTTGATCTCTCACCTATTTACGGTCCATGTCACTCCAGAAATCTATAAATAGACCACTCATTTCACTTGAAGGGGGGATCGAGCAAGAACAGAAGAAGGAAGAAGAGAAGGATGAGAAGGAAGAAGCTCCTCCTCGACCACCGTCGGACCACCACTTGAGGCCCTCTCCTCCACCGGACCACCACTTGAGGCCCTCTCCTCCACCGGACCACCACTTGAGGCCCTCTCCTCCGCTGAACCACCGCCTGACGCCGGAGTTCCGTCGGACCACCACTTGAGGCCTTCACCTCCGTCGGACCACCACTGGAGGCCCTCACCTCCGTCGGACCACCGCCTGACATCGTTGTTCTGCCGGACCACCACTTGACGCCCTGAGCTCTGCCGGACTAATGCCTGACGTCGTTGCTCTGTCGGACCACCGCCTAACGTCGTCGCTCCGCCGAACCACCAATTGAGGCCCTCACCTCCGCCGGACCACCGCCTGACATCGTTGCTCTGCCGGACCACCGCCTGACATCATTGCTCTGCCGAACCACCGCATGACATCGTTGCTCCACCGGACCACCATTTGAGGCCCTGAGCTCCGCCGGACCACCTTCTGACATCGTTGCTCCGTCGAACCACCACTTGAGACCCTGAGCTATACCGGGCCACCGTCTGACTTCGTTGCTCCACCAAACCACCACTTAAGGCCCCGAACTTCTGCCGGACTACCACTTGAGGCCCAAATTTGCACCGGATTACCACCTGACGCCCGGACTTCTACCGAACCACCACCTGAGGCTTAAACTTTTATTAGGCCACCACCTGATACCCAGAGTTCTACCAAAGTACCGCCCTACTACAACGGTTTTTCTGATCCCGGTTTCCTTCTGACCTCCTTCGCCTACATGGTCCTTCCGACCTCCATCACCAGACAACGGTCTTTCTGACCCCGATCTCCTACCAACTACGATATTTCGAATCTCTGTCTCTTGCCTACTATGGTCCTTTCGACCTCCATCACCAAACAACGGTCTTTCTAACCCGGTCTCCTGCCAACTACGGTCTTTCGAACCCCCGTCTCCTGCCGACTACGGTCCTTCCGACCTGCATCACCTAATATGGTCCTTCCGACCTCCATCACCAAACAACGATCTTTCTGACCTCCATCCTATCGACTATGGTCCTGCCGACCAAACAAACATGTCTATGTAACTCCAACCATGTAATATGCTCTATATGATGTACGTTTGTGACATCAAGCCAAGGCCTTCTCCTAAGGGCCTCATTTGTAATTGACTGCAAATACTAGTGGATTCATTCAAACTGGGCCAAGTCCCGTGGTTTTTCCCCCTTTTCAGAGGTTTGCACGTAAAAACTTTGGTGTCTCTTATGAACACTACACTCTCTCTCTTATCTGCTTGTGTGCTGGATCTTCGTATAATGCTAAGCACTAAACTATATATTTCTCTACCGCCGTGAATACTCCAGGACGCAACAGGAAGAAAAAGCAGGACTTAGAGAGATGTAGTGGAATCAATGCATGCAAATGGCATGCACTGAGAGTAATTTAATTTCTTTAAGTATATTTCATAGATTTTAAGATTTTTCTAATCTTTCCGTGGATTGTCACTTCATGCACTAACAAAACATTGAATCCGCACCTACAACTAAGTCAAGCATATCAAGACTATCAAAATTTTAAATATTTGCCAATCACGTAAGCAATCTCTCAAGGCACACAGCAAATAACAGAAAACTCGCCCTGGAATAAAATTACTGCCTCAAAAATCTAATCTATGCAATTTCAAAAGTTCATAATAATATATAAGTAGTGACAAACCTGGCCGGGTCCACCACCATATCCACCATTTATATCCTGTGATTACATAAATAACTAGTTCATGGTTGTTGCAAGTGAAGGGTTCAACACATGTAAAGTTAAATCAGAATAAAATAACACATTAATGCAAAATTGCAAATATGATTAACAATTGAGAGGAGTGCATCCCCTCAACAGTAAAAAATGCAAATTAATATAAAGCATTTGACAATAAAAAGAATCAAGTTTACAATTATTCAAATAAGCACAAAAATCGGATATTAACTTCTAAAATACTAATAATATAAAAAGAGATTTACAGGTACAATATTTAGATGGCAAAGTCAAATTATGTTGAATTTGCTTTGAAGAAACCAGAAAATGAAATGTTAAAGTGCTGTTTAATTTCACGTGATTTGGAAGTTGAAGAGGATAATAGCCCAAATAATCAGGGAATTATAAATGTTAATCCTTACACTCCATAACAACAAAAGAGACAAGACCATAAACTGAACAGGGAATCAAACAAGGTTAATCCCTTCCACCACATGCCACCCAAGCAACTACGTTAATTAAGGGCATACACATGGCTGATTAGAAGGGAGGGAAGGAGGGAGAGATAGAATCTGTACATGTTCTAGAGGAATAAGTCATTGAAAGATTGAAGAAAAAAAAATAAGTTTGGAAGAAAAGATAGACGACTCTTAACTGTCACAACCCATTTGACCCCTCCTACAGTCAACAGGGAGTGTAACAGAGAAGCAGAATCTGAATGGACCTACATCTTACTAACACTCACAGCAGAATCTGAATGGACCTACATCTTACTAACACTCATTCTGAATTACTCCTACCATAATCAGGTGAGTGGAAAGTAACTTATTCAGATTATGCCAATATTTAAAATTTTATGCTTAACAATAGAAAACATATGTAAAATACCTCAAATAAATGCAAGCCTCAAATGAAATATAGAACTTCACTAAACTTTTTAACATTCATTTACATACCAAAAAGTCTGTACAACTCCTGCTCTGACATACCCAAAAAGTGTATGTACACAAAAAAGTAGTCAACTCTCCTTACTACTATCCCACTGGCTCCTTTCCCTTGCCTTCTACTATCTATATTCTCAGGTAAAGAAAATTTATTTTATTGGAATTGTGATTTTAATATTAGTAGTTAAATTACTATTAAGTAAATCTTAGTATTTATATTAAGTAATAGAGTAAATTAAATTAGATAATACTTTAATTACGAATGGATGCTTTTAGTGGCTGTGAAGAGAAGTTATTCCGTGAGCCTCTCATATTCCTTATCTATTTTGATTTCACGCAAGCCAACAGAGAGGAAAAATAATCAGATGAGGGAATTATTGCATTTCACGGCATAGTGCAGGCTAAGGGAGTTAGGCACAGTGCAAAGTAAGGAAAGTACGGCAGTAGTGCTGGAAGGGGGAAGGATAGGTAGTGTTTGAAGTACTCGGCATAGTACAGGTAAAGATTATAATAGAGGTATTAGTTTTGATGTATGATGGAGTTTGGTTTATATTAAAGTGAGTTTTACTTTAAGTATATGGTTTATATTCAGTAGAGGAAATAACCGAGAAAGAGTGAAGAAAATAACAAGGATTAATTCAAGGAAGAAGAAATTGAGAGAAGACATAAGAGGATTCATTAATTATATGCAGAAGGGAGGTAACGAGATAAATTATGATCTTTATTTGAATTGGTTATATGTAATGTATTTGGGAAATGCAAGGAAAAAACTGTAGATTTTGAGATGTGCATTGTAGATAAATTAAAAAAGAAAAAGAGTGTGAGATGGAGGCATTGAGGAGACAAATCTCCAAAGAAGTAAGTAAAGCAATTATAATTAAAAATATAAATAATTTCATTTATAAGCATGAAGAGTTAATTTTAAATTCAATAAAAGGAAAAATGATATTAAGCTTATTCAATGTATAGAAAGGGAGTATAAATTCAAATTGTCATGTATGAATAACCACTTACATAATCTAATCATGTGAGTTTAAAATAAGATTTATTATGTTCATTTAAAGGTTTTTCTATTTGATAATGTTCTGAAAAAAAGTCTATTTTTTTACATATTGTATGCACATTCTTTGTATGCAGACAATATAACAGAAAGATCATTATGAAAGCATGCAATAATACAAACTATGAATTATAAGTATTGAAAGTTACTGAATATCAAATTAAAAAAGATTGATTATAAAATGATATGATACCTCCAACTACATATGGGGCAAAAGGAACCCCAAATATAATACTTATATTGCAGGTGGAGCAAAAGGGAACCTAGAGATATGATACTTGCATATCATGTGGGGCAAAAGGACCCCTAAAAAGACAAAAAGGACCACTATATTGCTCAATGGCGATAATGTCAAGTTTACGTGGGCTCCATTGAACATTCTTATGAAAGTTTAGTATATTCTGTAGAAGACTAATATTGATATTCTGTACACTTCAAAAGAATTGAAGGTTAATCCTATATATGATTTTATGATATTTTTCAAATAATGATAATTTTATTCAATTATGATTTCAATGTTATAATTTTTTGTAATATTGCATTTGAAATGTTATTTAATTTGCATAATTTTATGAGCTTCATAGCTCACCACTTATTTTATACTAATTGTTGTTACATGAAAAACTAAAAAGAAAGTGGAGACCGATTAGGCAAGTGTTAGAAACTTTAGATTTTATATTTAGAAGTGTTTGTGATATCCTAGTATAAGGTATATAAGTTGTTTAAATGTGATGAAACATTATAGTTTTCTTAGTGGCTCTATATGTATTATTGTGATCTAATTGGAATTAGATACTTCCGTTCATTTAGTAGATAAAATTTTCAGTAGATGTTTTATGCAACTATTCAAATGATATAAAAGTATGATATGTTGAGAATGAAAATTACGTTTATTTCTGTGGCACTCTACTTTACTGGTAAGAGGTAATATGGGATGTTACAAAAGTAGTATCAGAGCAAAGATTTAAGATTCTGAGGATTTAATTATGGAAGATTAAGCAAATTTAGCATTTAAGAGAAGAGAATTAGATCAAACTAAATTATTACAAAGCATATGAGAAAGTGATGTTTCTAAGTTAGTAATAAGTCTAACTTCAATCTTGCTTGCAAGTAACATATAAAAGTAACATTAATATGTGTGCATAATTTTATGATGTAAAACCTGCAAAATGACATTTTAGACCTTGCATGCTTTTGATGCGTCGCGACAAGTTTTATGTGAAAAATTCGAAGTTAACAGAATTTAACGAAAATAATTTCATAAAATTCTACGCAAAATTCTAAAAAATTTGAAATATAAAACTTATATCTAATTTTACTCAAATTAGAAATTAAAATTCAAGAAAGATTCATAATACCTAAACTACCCCTAGCAATTACTAATGCTGATGTGTTTTAAATGGGGGCAATTAAGGCAATTTGCATTTAACCATTATTCCCTCTTAAGGGGACCGAATGAATTCGGTCCCCATTATGTTCATTCGGCCGAAACCGAAGAAACACAAGGGAGAGGGCGGACAGGTGAGGGTAACGGACAGGTGGCTCCAGCGAGTTTTCCGGCGAAGAAAGCTAAGGAAATTGTAGAGGAGAATAAGAGGAAGACTAAAGTATGTTTTATTTATATATTTCTCCTTTTCTCGCAAAGTTTTCCTAAAATGAAAAATCTAGGGTTTGAGGGGAAACATTGATTTTATTTAAGAGAATGTTAAGATAGGTTAAAGAGATCATTTTATGCAAGGGAATGAGGCTTTTTCTTCAAAAATTTGTAGTTAGAAAATTAGGATTTTCTCTAAAGTTGGAATTTTTGGAAGTGCTTTTGCAAATATTGTTCCTAAGGGTCCTAAGAGAGTTTTTAAGAAAAGGAATTGAGTTTTTCTTAAATCCTAAAATAGATGTTATTTTAAATTAATTTAAGTTATGGAAAAAGAGTTATTTTGGTTAAAATATGTAATTATATAAAATTATGAATTTTTAGAATATGTTTTGTTTTATGTGATCATTTAGAGAGAGTGAGAGAAAGAACTTATGATAGATTAGGAAAAGAATGAGAAGATTAATTTAGATTTATTATAAATAATTTTAAAGGAGAAATTAACTCTTTAAGGTGTTTTGAAGAAACCTCGAAGGAAGAAGGATTAGCGAGGAGAATCAATTTCAAAATTTCTGTAAGTATACATGGTTCTTTATTACAATAATACTTTTATTTTCTCTCTAATTTTATGTTTTGAAAGTCCAAGCATGATTATGAAAATTTTATAGTCATTTTAGATCATGATTATGTTATTTCATCCTATGATTAATCAAGCAACTTTTACGTTATATATCATGGCATTATATTATAAGTTTATATATTATAGGAATGAAATGAAATGAGATGAAATGAGATGATATGATTGTTATATTGAATGCTTGTATGTGCATGCTGAAAAGATGGAGCTCATCCCCTTATGGTACTAGCTGGGGACGCTGTACTCGTGCACGTTAAAATGGTAAACGATATGAAAAAAGATATGGAAAATGAGTACCTTTATGGTACTAAATAGTGGCTCCTGTGACGGTTGTAATATATATGAAAAGAGAAAGTTATGAATAATGATATGGATATGAAAATGAATTATGAAATGATATGATTTTATGATTTATGTTTATGTTTAATGTTATGTTTATATGAGGCAAATTATATTATATTCAAATGAAATTGACATTTAGCATATTATTCTGTTTTCCTTGATTACTGTAATTTAGAATCGTGTTTTACTTACTGAGCTTCGGCTTAATATTAGTTGTTAACATTTTTTCAGGTATAGTTACTTTAAATCAAAAATGAGTAGAAGGGATGGTAATATATACCGTAGAAGAGGAGCGCCTGAGGAAAGGTAATTTTATTATTATTACTGATTTTATGTTTATGTGATTTCAAATTTGATGTTTTAGATGCTCTCTTTCAAATGTTAGAGTGATAGGTTTAGGAACTAGATATTTGACCTACCATCCGACCA